CAGAGATTTGTCCTGACTGTGGGCAAGGCCGGAAAACTCTAGCTACAGTCAGGCTTGTGTAGCTAGCTATTGGTTTACCTGCTGAGCCGTCTCCCTGGCCCATTTTCTTAAATTTATCTGCTTATTAATTTTTATTAGAAAATTGAGCCTTGGCCCAATTTTTTTTCTATCAATTTACGTCTTCCAGAAAGCACCTATCTGAAAGTTAAAAGTATAAGAGATTTACTGTGGGAAAAGCTTGGAAAGGTAAAGTAGGACAACCTTCAGGAAAAGACACAATTGGATACTTTAGGAGGAAAAAGAAGAACTGGGTGGAAAGAGGTTCAAAGCACATGCAGCTTAGAGAAAACCTCAGCCAGCCCAGGAGTTCCCTAAGACTGCTACAAAACAGAAACGTACAGACCGTATTTGCATTGCTTTCTGTCACTGGGTGTGAGTCTCCAAGGACTGGCCTGCTCTCAGATGGGGTGTTGTGGAGGATCCTATCGTGCTATGGCTGGAGGCTGTCTGTCAGCCAGTCACGTACTAATAGTTAACAACCTGCTGTGTGTGTTCCTTGTAAGTTTAAATTTTCTGACAAAAGGATTGTAGCACACACCTTATCAATAATGCATACAATCTTTACTGTAAATTCTTCACAGACAATCATCCTTTGAGAATTTTCATTGAGTTTTGCTGATTTTATATTTATAGCCAATCTCTGGTTGCAGCTGATTAACAATGAATATGCAGCTGGGAATGGTGTCATATGTCTTTAGTCCCAACACTCGGGAGGCAGAGTTTGAGGTCAGCCTGGTCTACACAGCAAGTTCTGGGACAGCCAGGGCTACACAGAGAACCCATGTCTCCAAAATAAAACAAAACAAAATGCACATGCTATTTAGGTTTATACTTGAATGAGAAAGAAACATCCAAGATGTCAGAATTTTATTTGCTTGTCAATACTGGGAGAGACTCTTGCTAATGCAGATACTATGATACTTTGATTCTCCTAATGAAAGCTTTAACTCCCTGTTACACGTAAAGGACACAGAGGACACACATTCTCAAATTTACTGCTTCTCCATCAGTCTTGCATTTGCATTGGCTAACTTCAGTACTTCCCAAATTCAGCTGATTTCAAGGTTTGATCCCTAGTACTGAAAAATAAAGGAGAAAAAAAAAACTCGAGAAAAACTATCATCTTTGAAAAAGGAAAACGGAGGGCAGTTCTGCCACCCAAGAACTGGAATCTCATTAGATAGTCTGAATGCTGACGTTCCCATTACACCCATATGTTGGACCAAATGCACCATATGATGGTGCTAGGAGGCAGGGCCTTCAGGAAGCAAAGTAAAGGGGCTCCACTCCCATACATTAGTGGCCTTGATTCCCTTTGGGCAATGCAGAGTAGGTTTCTCTGAAGAGGCTTATAGACTTGACCGTGAGTATTTTGAAAGCGATTGAGGCCCTGACATACATTATTAAATTTATTTTTATGTATATGGATGTTTCGGCTGCATGTATGTCTCTGTACCACATTTGTGCCTGGTACGTACAGAGGTCAGAAGAGGGCATTGGATTCCCTGGAACTGGAGTTACAGATGGTGTGAACCACTATGTGGGTCCTGGGAAACAAACCCAGGTCCTCTGCAAGAGCAACAAGTGTGTTCTTAACCACTGAGCCTTCTCTTCAGCCCCATTTTTTTTTTAATAAGCTGTGATTAACCTGTCTGGTGGATTGGGACCATCTCTTCATGTCAATACAACAGGAAGCATCCCCAAAGAGAGCACACAATCAGAAGAGACCACTGACATTCATGGACTAGCCATGCAGATGTGCCACCACTGCAAGGGTGGCAGCTGTGGCCACGCTCTGCTCTTCTTTCCCTTCCACAGTACTTTCTTGCACTGAATAAACCTTCAGGACTCTTGGACAATTAGAGGGGTGAGTGGAGGGATGTGAAGCCTCAAAAGACAACTGACTTCCTCCTTGAAAAGGATTAAGCAATGCATTAGTAAACGATGGTTATACTGGAGACTAATGAA